GATTCTTACAAGAAGGAGGTGATTCCAGCTTGGAGGGGACCAAGGAGGTTGTGCATCTGGGGATTTCGAGCAAAAGACTTCATCTTTGAGGTATTATGTCGCCCCTTTATCTGTTTTGTTGAAGGAATCCATAGATGTAGAGTTTTTATGTCTTTTATTGGAAGGAGTTGTGAGAATATGGCCCCTATTCACTTTGAGACTTCGGATCTGGACCCATAGTGGTCTAAAGAGCTTATTCCAGCTTGCTTTATGTTGAGCTATGGAGGCAATGAGCTCAGGTTGTTGTTTTTGGGGCTAAATCACCAAGTAAAGCCTCCTAGGCGTCACATGAGTGTCAAGATCCAAGCTTTACGTGATTATCAGGCTTGGGAAGGTCAGATCTATGGTTCTAAGGAACAGATCTGACCTCAGGAGGTCAATTGAGTTTGTGCATGACATGAACTCGCCGAGTCCAAGGACAGACTCGGCGAGTAGGGTTAGGGTTTCCCATGAATCATACAGTGAGTGACTTGCCGAATTGGGGGAATGAAGTGAGTCAGAAGGGGGATAGAGGACTCGAGTTCACGACTGAACTCGCTGAGTCACATTTGTGCACTCGGCGAGTCTGGTCAAGGGTTGACCGTTGACTTTTGTTGACTTTTTGGGTTTGGTCAACAATGGAACTTGTGGACTGTTTGAAGGGTAAAATAGCCTTTTAGCCTTCTTAGAGGACATGTGAGAGTCTAGTCTAGCCTAGAGAGTCGTGATTGATTGAGATGATTATGTTATGTGTATAGGCAGAGGCTAGATCAGTATATATACGGGCGGGATATTATCCGAGACATCCGAGGTGAGTCTTCTCACTATACATTACCTAGAGTGGTATTTATGTGTAGACCAGAGGGTCTTGTATGCTATGTGTATGTATGAGATTATGTGCATTGTGTTATATGTATGCTATGTTTTGTATAGACCGGACCGAAGGGTCCAACGATATAGACCGGACCGAAGGGTCCAACGATACAGACCGGACCGAAGGGTCCAACGATACAGACTGGACCGAAGGGTCCAACGAGCTACGAGACTGGAGGGTCCCGCTGAGACACATCGGACCGGAGGGTCGTATTGTAGCCTCGAGTGGCGTATATGTTGTATGTGGTATATTGGGGAACTCACTAAGCTTTTATGCTTACAGTTGTTGTGTGATGTGTTTCAGGTACTAGTGAGGATCGCGGGAAGGCGCCGGCATGATTCGTACACACGAGAGAGGATTTATTTATATGAGATCTTGGGACATGTTTTGTGATGATACATAGATTTATTATGATTTTGTGATTTTTATGTGGTGGAAAGTATGTTTTGAAATGAAAAATTGTTTTGAAAATTTGGGTGTTACATATACATGTTTTGCATAACTTAATTTGAAACTATTTACTAAACTTGTTGATATGTATCCTTATAAATTTGTTTATAGGTTGGCAAGCCAACGAAAAAAAAAGGAAGAGGGCAGCTGATGAGCCAACTCAAAGTACCAGTTTAAGTAGTAAATACTTGACAGTCACTTGCAGCAAATGCCACAACAAAGGTCACAATGCTAGTGTAACGCCCGTATTTCTAGGCTAGGCATTAATATTGACGTAATAGTCTAGGTTAACCTTTGTAACTCATTTTGAAGTAATAAAGAGGAATTATGTGAATATTATGTGAATTATGTGCTTATCTGCTTAATTATTATGATTAATGAATTAAGAATAAAAATAAGCGTCGAAAATAAATATTAGATAAATCCGATATCTATTAAGAAAGTTGTAGTGGCCGAAACAAGGATTCCGGAGATATAAAGAATACCGAAATCCGAGTTATAACGAAGAAGTTATGACTTGTCAAAGTTTCGCGACAGAACCGGTACGCCACTACGTGACGTAAATAGTGAATTTACTATAGAACGATTTTTAGCCTTAGCGATCTAAACAAAAATCGTAGTATTCGTTAAACCGAGAATTTTCATAAAAAGAACGTCCAAATCTGACTTCGTATGAGGAAGTTATGATTTTTCTAATTTTCAGCTTAGCAGTAGACAGCTAAAAACTCGAATTTTGGATCGAGTGATTTTTAGCCGACACAACCTAAACGAGAATCGAAGGTCTCGTCAATAGTAGTACAACGGTAAAAAGACAGACGAAAACGGACGTCGGCTGAAGAAGTTATGAATTTTTAACGGATTTTCCTGTCCCGGTCTGTTAAAAATAATAATATTAAAAATAAAGTCAAAAATAGCTGACGGAGTCTAAACGAAAGTTGTAGAGCATAATTTTACCTACGCGTGCATATAAAGAACGTCAAAAACGGAGTTCGTATGTGAAAGTTATGTGTTTTAGAAGTTTGGGACACAAAATTCGAGAAAAATGCTAAAACCGAGGAATTTCGCATGGCTGGGGTTCGGCCACGTCACCTCGCATGCGAGGCCGCCTCGTGTACGCCACATGCTCGTTTCTGATTCGACCGAAGGTGCGGCCCAGTAAGAACTCGACGCACCTCGCACCGGTGGCAGATCTGAAGCGAGCCACGTGCCTCGCCCTCGCATCCGACGCGTGTCGATGACTCCCCTCACATCCGAGCCTCGCTGCTGCTGCTGCGTGTCCCTTCTTTCGGCCAGAGCTCCGAACCTCGCACCTATATAAAGGGGGTGCGAGACCTCCTGGGTAACTTTAGAAAATTCACATTTTCCACCCCTTAAAAAATATTTTTATAATTTCGAATTCCCCCGAAGCCCCGATATCATACCTAACACCCGAAACACGTTCCGTAGTGCCCGAAGAGCCGAGAAATTTATCTTTTCGGTTTTGAAGCTCAACCTTCGAAAGCCCGATTTTTCATTAAAGCTCCTGGTTTCATCGGAAACGAAGTGCTGCCCGATTATCGTTAAATCAAGTGAGTGTGTAGTCACTTTCATCTTACACATAAATATGAAATATTTTCTATAAAATACGTGCTATGTGTAATTATATTGTTTGTTTATTTGAGATGAATGTTGAATGAATATTTTATACAGGTTTTAAAATGTATATGTATTTTTATCTACAAAAATGTTGGGTAAAACATGGGTAGATAGTTGATGTGTGATGAAATAAAATGATGAGAGACCTCGATGTTATTGTGATCCAGTCATCTAGCGGAGTATGGATGACGACTACAGACTTTTCTAGATAGTCCCGTGGAACGCTGGCAGGCTCGCAACCTGTAGGTGTTAATGAGCTTGGGTGTTCATTTGTTGTACTCCATCCCCCACATGGTGGCCTTATTTGACATAAATTGCTGGGAAACCCCCAGAGCAGTGTTGTCGCCCCGATGAAAATCCTTAGACTGGGTCCCTTGTGATAGTTGTTTTAGGGACGTAAAGTGAGGATAACAGGAATGGGTAATCGGGTTATTGTTGTTTGATGAAATTAATAAATTTATTTATTGTGGGTTGAAAACCCTATATGCTCACCAGGCTCCCAAGCCTGACCCACTCAGTTTTCTTTGTATTACAGGTAGTGGCGCGAGAGCATAAGTTGAACGACTTATCAAGATATTTTGATTATAGGCCTGTAGTGTATATAACTGTTGTAAGGCTTATAATGTGCCGTTTATGCTTTTGGTATGTATCGGAACATGACATCCCGAGTTTTGTTATATAATGAAAATACATTTCTTTAAGAAATGCTTTGGTAAATCATATTTTATCATATTTCGTTTTTGGAACAAATTCCGCAACTCTTTTAATCAAAGGATTACTCTGAAATTATTTTAAAAGCATAAATTAAACCGGTCTTTTCTGGCCGTGAATTTGGGGATGTCACAGCTAGGACATGCAAGGGACAAGGAGGTCCTAGTGAAGTTGGAAAGGGGAGTGGACAGAAGAAGGGGAAAGCTGTTGTAGTTTAGTTTGTAGCTTTAAGTATGCTTTTGCTATTATGTCTAAGTATTTAACATGTCTACTATGTTTGGTTATGATATGTTTGTAGAGACAAATACTTTTGATAGGTATTTTGGGTATTGTATGTTTGTAAACATGATATTGCACTTACATGCATTATGGTTAATGATATTTTGGTCTACTATGTTTGAACTAGTACATTTTCAATTTTGGTAATGCCACTTTGGCAACTAGTTTTTTGGTTATGTTATTGCACATTAATAATCAACTTTACACTTACATGCAATCAAATTGACAATTTGCTTCCTTGCTAATACCAGTTCACATTAAAACTAAACATCAAACTTACATTATATATAATAACCATTACATTTTCTTGTCCCAACATTACATACAATCACAGGGAAAATCCTTCAAAAGCTATAACAAAAATGAGACCAAAACACAGATTCCAAATCACAGATTTCCCCCCAAAAGCTTCTTGATTTTTTTACTTGAAAAAGTAACACACCAAGAAAAACAACCAACTCAGACAAAGTAACCATTTCACCATCATCAATCTTGCTTCGAGATTGTTTCTTCCATGCAACAACCCTAGAATCACAACAATTGACCTAGGGGGACATGGGAGGGTCGAACCATCCAAAAAAGCTGCATGTTCCTCCTAACCTTGAGCATGACCAGAATCGACGACCTAGGTTCAAATCAGTCCACGATGTCACCAAAATCGTCGGTCTTCCACAGTGGCATATCACCATCGTCTTTTTTTTGGAATAGAATGTGAGTAGGGAGGGAAGAACAGAAGAAAAGAACGAGAAGTAGAAGGATACAAAGGTGAGGCTTACATTATATAGTTTGCTGCACAACGAGGTGAAAAGACAAAATTACCCCTGCAATAACGGTACAAAAGTGACGGGGTTAGGGTTAAGGACCAATCGCGCAATGAACTGAAACCATAAGGACCAGTGGCATGATTTTTTGCTAGGAAGTCCTCAAAGCGTGATATTTTGTAAACCACATGGACCAATTGTGAAATTTTGTCTATTTTTTTATCAACATTAAATAAAAAAGAGGTTACAATAGTAATTTAGTAAAACTGAAAATGTAAAAGTGATTGATAGCGTTACACCAAACACCACCAACGCTGAAAGTGTTGATGTATGAGCAGGAGCGCGGTGATCGAAGCTACACTGTCCCACTGTAGGGGTTCATCGGAGAATCAGGAACCCTAGCTCAAATCCATAGCGATGTTTTAACTCAAATTAAGGTCAGTTGCAGTGATGATCAACAAAGAAGACGGAGACAAAAGCTGCCGAATGACTGCTACTGTTAAATACATATCATCCGCCTTCAATTCATAAATTACTCATCAACATCGTTGTTAACCTTTAAATTCCGACACTACCGGACACCGAACCGATCAACGATGACAAGTGAACCGATGGACACTACAGAAACAGAGAATGTTTCTGAATTTACACTCGCCGAGGTATTGCCTCTTCTAAAAAATCCATGTCTACTTATGTGTCAGTGCGCGCTGTCTGCATGTTGCTAATAGAAAGTATTAGCTCTCGTATGCAAAAGTTTGGATAAATCATATAGCTAATTTATAGGGAAAACCTTTTCAGAAATGTGATGTATTCGTCGAAATTTTCTACAACTGTTCAGAATTTATGTCAATTGTTGTGGATGTAGTCCACTATATGCTTTACCTGTTGATAAAAAAATGTTAAATTTTGATCGTTCATGCTTTAGTTGAGGCAGGGGTTTTTGTTTTAACTTTTTTTCTAATTGATTGTGGGAAATTATTATTTTGATGCCGATTTGTAATTTGCAACAAAATCACTTTGACATGAACATAAGGGTAATTCCAGTATCAAGCCGTGTCTTGGTGGATCAAACTTAAGATTTCACAGCTTAGGACATATCACATATAGTTTAATAAATGATATGAAATGACTATTGAAATCACCTTTTAGTGAGAAAGATCACTCCTCCATGCCCAAAGAAAATGACTTTCGATTTCAAGTAGACTTTCAGTAAACAGTAAAATTGTTATGCATTCCAAAACTCTGAAAAAATTCACCTTATTAAACTCTATAGAGAACTGTGGCCTTAGTTTTGTAACATAATCCATTTTTAATTTTTTTTCTCAGGGTCTTTGTACCCCCATTGTGATTTGTGAAAGTTTCTGTAATTAGGGATCACCAAAACTTCACAAAAGGTTGCCTTAAATCTAATTCATATAATCATATATAACACCTTGGATGTGATTGATTAGCTCCTTATATCTCAAAGAGCCAAGGGAGGTTTTTTGTTAATTGTTAGTTATGGTCTGGTAATGTGGATTTGAATGGTTATTTGGGTTTGTATGCTACAGTTATATCTTAACGTAGGTCCTTTTTTGGTGGCTTATTAAACATAATATACATTATCATTATTGGTAAATGTTTATCAGTATTAGTAGTATTATAGTATTCATCTGATTCTAACATGGTAAGAGACGAGAATATTCGAGAATGCAAAGTTGTTGAACTCACATGACACATCCAATAAAAGAGGAATACATCTACACATCTACCTGATAGAAGTTGATGCAAATGTGGGATGTGAATATATTGTTTACACTTTATATAAGATATTACATTCTCATTTCTCTCTCCATTTGGCAGATCCTGGAAATGGAAAACTTATACAGGAAACGGGGTAAAGAAGTACAACAACAGGAGTTCTGTGAAGAACTTGCAACCAAATTCAGGTAAAATTTCTGTTGAAACTTTGCATAGATTGTTCATGTTCTAACCTTTTCTCTCTCTCTCTCACACAGTTGCTCGGGTAATAGAGATGGGAAATCTAGCATAACATGGGACCAAGTTAGTTTTACACATTCTTTTACTTATCTAATCCTTTTTATCTACTCCCTACACACACATACAAATGATCATGTGTTGTCTTCCTTGCATAGGTACACACCTGGTTCCTTGATAGACAATTATTTTCAGCTGTTAAGAGTAAAACTCCAGTGGCTCATTCAAATGAAGTGACAAAGCAGCCTGCAATCATAAACTCTTCTCCAAATGCTCTAAAAAATCTTGTGGCCTTGTCAAAAGCATGGGCTGCATCTGAAAAACCTAAAACACCCAAAGGTTCATTTTATATTTCTTTCTCATCGAGCATGAAACTAAAAAAGAAAATATCTATTAATTATTTGTTACAGATTTCTTAAATATGTATGCTTTTTTTTGCTTCTGGAAAAGAATTATGCTTCATTATTATGATTCTTCTACAGCTCAAAGAGTTGCAGAACTTTCAGATTTGATTTTTGAAGCCTTGTCAGCAAAGGATTGTGCTTGGTGAGTAACTGTAAATATATTTGATGATTCTGATATATTCTTTTTATAGGTAATTAGTTACCTTGTGAAGTGGCTATCATGTATGTAATAATTTCCTCACTAACTTTTCAGGTATGATGTTGCTGCTTTCACTAATTTCAGAGTTCTTTACCATGGCGAGCTCGTAAGACCTCACAACCACAAATTGACAGTATGATTGTGTAATTATGAATCAGGGGCAATCTTGTCTTTATTTAAGTTTTTTTTTTTTTGAAATGTGCAGGAAGTTCGTGTGAGATTTTCTGGTTTTAGTCATGATCAAGATGAGTGGGTGAATGTAAGAAAGGGACTTCGTGAGAGGTCAATACCCTTGGTTCCTTCAGAATGTCACAAAGTCAAAGTTGGTGATCTTTTGCTATGCTTCAGGGTATGCTTTACATATCTCTTTTCCTTATAGTATTGTTTATTAGTAGAAATGTGCAAGATGGTTGCTAAAAAGTACATTAACTTATTTTCATAGTTTTATACCAATAAAATATGATCATATTATTTGTTGATGTTGATTTACAGGCAAATGAAGATCATGCACTTTATTCCGATGCACAACTCCTACGTGTTGAAAGGCAGCTGCATGATACAGATAGTTGCACATGTGCCTTTCTGGTTCGCTTTGAGTACGATAATGCCGAGGTAAATAAATTAAAATTTCATTTGAAAATACGATAAATTTCACTTATTAAGGAAAAGGCATTTCAACGCACTTAAATTTTATTTCTTATTTGGTACACTAATATTTGGTTTATGGTTATGCTCTTTTTTCTTTTTTCTAATTTGTCTCGTTTAAACAGGTGGAAGTTCATTGCAGCGAGATTTGTCGCAGGCCATCATGAAGAGGTTACTTTGGTTGGCAGACATTATTATGTTGTCATGAAACTTGATGTTAATGATTTGGATTACATTGTGTGGTTAATTGGTTGTTGTGACTTTTAAGTATTGAGATAATTTATTATATGGATTTTTAATATTAATATTTTTAAACGACAGAGGACAAAGCTAAATTATGTACAAGTAAAGTATTTACTTAGTTTTGTTGTAACCAATATACGAAACTGAATGCTCGTATGCAGATAACAAATACTTGGAATAATCACACTTCAATAGCGCTAGCTCAATTTCACAAACATGTAGCCCGTCTAGCTCAGTTGGTAGAGCGCAAGGCTCTTAACCTTGTGGTCGTGGGTTCGAGCCCCACGGTGGGCGATTAAGGTTTTTTTAAACTGTTTTAACTTTCTTTTTAGCTCAGTGTTACTATTTTGATTCATTAATTATTTGGATAGAAACTTAACAAACAGCCCGTCTAGCTCAGTTGGTAGAGCGCAAGGCTCTTAACCTTGTGGTCGTGGGTTCTCGAGCCCCACGGTGGGCGTATATAATTTTTCTACATCAGTTTTTGATTTAGGAAATCTCAAACTAAAAACTGAAAGTAAATTTTAGGTTAAAATTTAAATAGATCGATTTCTTTTGTTCTTTTTCCGATTTAGGTCCGCTACAAAGAATATGAATCCATTTTCATATGCTTGAATACAATGCATTATGCATATGATACAAGATAGCTAATTAGATATAACAACCTTTAAACAGAAAAAGTTGGTATTCAACTTCTGTGTTTTGTTAGTATATGATCGGCACCAAATCTCTTATCTGGTAGCAACGATGTATTAACAATTCAAATTATGACTTCAATTCGGTGATGATTATGTTTTTCTTAAGCACTTCACATAGCTTGTCTAATAAGAATAACCAGAAAAAATAACCACTTCACATGCATTTTATGTAGGGAAAACTGTAATAAAGTCCTTACATATTAACATCATAATTGATTTAGTTCTTATATATTTTTTTATTCAATTAAATCCCGAAAACCGGTAATCGTATTCAATTTAACCATTTTACCCGGTCAACAGGTAATCCAACTTTCAAAAATTACATTTTAGCCCAGATTTCAAAATTTATTACAAATTTGGTCTAAAATTTACACTTTTGGCCAAGATTTTAAATTTTATTACAAATTTGGTCCAAAATTTACCCTTTTGGCCCAAAATTTAGAATTATGTCATGAACTCATCATAACTTTAGTTTTTTTACAACCTTTTTTTCTCAAAATTTAGTTCCGAATATGTTTTTTTTATAAAATCATATTTATACAAAAAAAAGTTCACATAAAAAATCTTATATTTTCTATATAAAAAGATTTTTTTAAAAAACTTTTTTTGTATACGAAATGTAACGCTTGGTCCATGTATTATTTAGTTCTCAATATTTTAGAGTTTTGGGCTGGAACTCGACGAGTTGGAGAGCTCCAACTCGTCGTGTAGAGATTTATTTGGACGCGGAATAAGGACTCAACTCGACGAGTTGGGGAGCTCCAACTCGACGAGTTGATTCTAGGAAGGGGAAGCCGAATTTTTAGGGTTTGCACCTTATTTAAAGGCCTTAAGCGTCATTGTTAGCCTCCCTCATCGCCCCCTTTGTCCAGAGAAACCCTAGTTCACCCATTTCCTCTCATTTTGTGTGTGTGCGTGTGAGTGAGCTTGGAGAGTGATTTTTGGTGCTCTTTTGCAAGGAACTTGAAGCTTGAAGAGGTTTGATTGAGTGGAAGGCAGTAGATCCGGGATTTCCTCCAGTGTTGCAACTACATTGAGGTATAAAGTCGAAACTGTCACACCCCCAAACCAAGGATGGCGGAAACGTCCGGGGGTGGAGGACTTCATGTATAGTATCACAACAACGAGTATAATAGTGCTCAAAGTAAATACAACCATCATAAATATAATTGAAAAGGTTACACCATAGTATATGTTTACATGTTTCAAAATCAATTACATTATGATGACAAAATGAACTGTTTGACGATTTAATGTCCCATCCTCAAAATGCTGTTGGTTTCCTGTTTCACTGATTTCCTGAGAATACAAGTAGTTTTGAAAAGTGTCAACAATTAAGTTGGTGAGTTCATAAGAGTTTTGTTTGAGGAAAAAGCCGTTTTCCTTGTAAAAACGATAGAGTATGATTCCAGAAAATCCAATATTTTCTTTACAAAAGTGATGTGTTGTCTTAAATTCCAAGACCGAAATGTACAAATATTTTTCCATACTTAAAGTAATTCATGCAAGTTTAAATCGACATAAACTCGTTTAATTTATAAGTAAAACCCGTAAATCTTATGTTTTGTTAAAACCCCCTGCGAGTTATTATAACCATGCTATGACTCAGTCGGCCTCGTAATACGACGTTCTTCAGGCGTCGCAAATTAAATGACACTTGTCACCTCAGACCTGCCGATCTAGCTGTTGCATGCAGCTCAGGTGTGGGTTTGTCAGACCCAATATAGATCTATACACAAGTATCACGTTCTCCCTACAAGAGACTCTGGTTACAATTCACAGGACTTTTGACTTTGTTACTATGAAGGTAACACGAAGCGAATGTCTCACAAATTTATTCATTAACAGATTTACGTGAACTGAACTAAAAAAACCCCTTGGTAATGAGTTTGACTGGTTAATGAAACATAAACTATACCTATTATAGTTTAACATAATTGTTGGTGTTGTGTATGAAACATAAACTATACTATTATGTAGTATATGAAAACCCCATTTGTTTTGAGAGTAAAACCTTTCTCATGTAGTAAAAATCCATAAACTATGCTTATTATAGTTTATTATATGTGTTCGAAATGAATGAAGAATCCTTATCATGGATGACTAAATTTCAGTTTATGATGATAAACTAACAAGAAAATACATTCAATATTTAGAACTTATGGTTATACACTTTGCTCAACATACTACAAAGTGTTATGAAAGTTGTAAGCTGTTAACTAGTTTTTAACCTTTCTGCACTGTTTTAGAAAAATCATAGACAAATAATACGAAGTCGAAAACTGAATCCGTAAATTCTGAGAGTTCACAAAATGTGTCTAGTTTATTCATAATTTTTATTATGATTTTTAGAAGTCTTTAACTTGTGTTAAAATGTTCATATTCACAGACTGGTCCGAATTCATTTCTGAAATGATAGACAGTTTTGTAAAAATCACCATAAATCGTAGAAAAATCATATGGAGATGTGCAAGTAGTCATTTTAAAGGTATGAATCTGAACTATTTGCATATTAAACAGTTTTGAAATATATTAAGTTTAAGATAGTCAAAACAGTCCGTGAATAAGACTCAACTTTTCTGATGAAAGCTGTTGTTTGAGTTTAGTTAAGTTTTTGGTGTTTTAACTTGTATCCCCCCCCCCTGAAACTTGAAGAAAACATGAAAATGTGGGGGTATGAACTCACCTCGAGTGATTTCAGTAGACGGATGATGGAGAAAAATAAGTGTTCAACTCAAGAACACTTAGATGATGCTTGAAGATTCGAAGATCTAACAACAAATATGACGATATTTGTGTAAGGAACTCATGATTTGAGTGAAGAAGTGTAAGGAAATCAAGTGTGGGAAGAGATTTACTTACCAAGGTGTGTGGAGAGCTCAAGATCAGCCTTGGATCTCGAATTCTTGGTGAGAGGAAGTGAAAGAGAATGTGTTTTGCTCTTTGGTGAAAAGTGAGTGAAATGGGAGGAGAGAGGAGATTTTCAGCTTTTGGTGAACCTTTACAGCTGGAGGAGGGGTGTCAAAGGACAAATAGTTGACTAGGTAGGGGGAATAGTGACTGAGGGTTGTACTATGAAGGTATGGGGGAGGTTGCTTGTGTCATACTCTAGATAAAGTCAACACTTTACCCCAAAATCTAACTTAATAGATTTTATTCTTGGTCAAGGATTTCCCCCAAAAATATGATTAAAAATTAATATTTAGGGTCTCTTATATTAAATTACGAGTTTTGGTGAAAATCCTACGTTAAAATCACGAAAAACGGGCTTAAAACGAAGATTGGGTCAAAAACCGGGAAGAAAATGCTAATTTCCGAAGTCTGGCCGAAGGTTGGGTCTTGAGAGGGTTATAACCGAAGGTAGGGTTCGGTTGGTGCATTGGAACCGAGAGTAAGAGGTTCGGTCCGAGCCTCGCAGGCGAACTCACCAGAAGGGACCGAAGGCGAGGGTTCGGTTCAGCAGATCGGATCAGCAGCTTCGGTTCGGTCCTCCTAGTTCGGTTCTTAAGGCTGTTCGGTCCAGGAGGCTTCTTAGGGTTTCTCTTCTTAGGGGTTTCGGTTCCTTAAGGGAGGTTCGGTTCCTAAGAGGGTTCGGCTCCTTAAGAGGGTTCGGCTCCTTAAGAGGGTCCGGCTCCTTAAGAGGGTTCGGCTCCTTAAAGCTATTTTTCGCGTAAACTTCCGTTTTCGAGCAGTTTTCGACTAAAGTAAGGGTCGGGATGCCCCGAGTGATTATAAAAAGTTGAGAGGGATTTTGAGAGAGATTTGGGAGAGATTTTACACACTTGGAGAGATTTCTCATACAGAGAGAGATTTGGGAGAGATTTCACACACTTGGAGAGATTTCTCATACAGAGAGAGATTTGGGAGAGATAAAGTGAAAGAGGTTGAGAGGGACTTCGTTTGCGACCTTTTTAAGTGTTTGGCTTCGTAAGTCAAGGTTTGTACACTCTGTTAAGCCTTGTTATGAACGTTATACGCTCCCGAGGGGTTAAGGAATAATGTTTTATCGAATAGATTCATCACTTACCCTGATTAGGGTTTAGAATTTCCGAACACGTGAAAACTCTAAGTGATACTTTGTGTTAAGATTGCGAGTATTACAATAAGAATCACAATGGAAACCCTAACATACAAGGGTTAGATGAGTTGACCGGTTTGACTTGTTGACTTTGGTTGACTTTGACTTGACCAAAAATTGACGGTTGTCACATCATCCCCCCGTTAGAAAGAATTTCGTCCTGAAATTTGCACTTTGACTGGGACTTCGAGAGTTGGGGAAAGATGTGAGAACTTTTCGTAGTACAAGAAATTGATATGGTGGGGACCAATCCGCCTGGTGTTACATGACGACCTGGAAATTTCTTATTGTAA